AAAAAAAAAAAAAAAAAAAAAAAAAAAAAAAGAATCCATGAGTCTATAGTGGTATTTTTTCAACTGAGGTAGGGGAAGATGGAAAAGTTTTTCTTTACAATAGAATGCCAATTAATATCTCCAATGGGAAAAAACTAATATCGCGTCTCCTAAAACATTATTTTGAGAACAATACAGCATCACCTCTGTAGATTTCTCATCCAAAATATTTCATGTTAACATGAAATTATTATTCATGGTAACATGGACATAATCATGAGCAACCATTCAGACTAATCCACATTGAACAACATTCTTCAAAACAACCTAAACTCTTCAAAAATGTTAATGTCATGAAAGACCAACAAAGGCCAAGAAACTGTTCTAAATCAAAGGAGACTAAATAAGCATGACACCTAAAAATAATGTATGATCCTTAACAGGATCTTGGATTGAGGGGAAAGGTAGGACAGCCCTAAAAGGCATTATTGGGCATCACTGGACATAATTAAGGTAGTCCAAAAATTTAACTGCCTGTAACTAGGATTGAGAAAGAACAGCCAGAGAAGTAAGAAGTAAAACAGGAAAGTTTGTTCTCACTAAATCAGAAATCAAGGAATAATAATGTTCCAATAAAGGAGTAATCTACAATGTAAAATGCTATTGGGAGGTCAAATAATATAAACAGGAAATACTTCTTGCCAAGTTTGTATAACTAGATAGTTTATGTTTTGTGTTGTTACTGAAAGAGGAATATTTTAAAAGTATACTTTCTAAATGGTTACTGCTAGTATTTAAGGAGGCTACTAATCTTTTCCTGTTGCAACTGGTTTCATTTTTCCTCAAAGGCAACACATGTTCGTTACAAAAAATGAATTATAAAATAAACACCAGTTAAAAGAACATAAAACCCCACAATTCTTCCCACCCAGAGACAACTACTATCAATACCTTAGTGTTTATACTACTATGTATATGTACACATTTACTTTTGAAAAAATTATTTATCACGTACACCTGAAACTAAAACAACATTGTTAATCAACGATACTCCAATATAAAATGAAAATTAAAAAAATTATTTATCACACATTGTTTTAGAGCCCTATTTTATTTATCTAAATATTGGGAATATCATTCTATACAAAGACATATTTGCAAGGTTATTTTTAAGGCTACATAGGAGTACACTGCATGGATATACCAGTTTATTTAACTAATCCCCCTTTGTTTATTATCTGGATTGCTTCTAACTTTTTGCCATCACAAACAAAGCTTCAATGAACATTGTTATAGCTAAGTTTCTGAACATGCTTAATTAGAAATTATTTCCTCAGGATAAATTCCTAGAAATAGAATTCCTAGTTCAAGAGACATTCATATTTTTCAGGCTTTTGCTATGTAGTTGTTAAAGTGCCTACCAGAAAGATTATATTTATTTACACTCTCACCAATAGGATGAATGGATCCATCCAGCAGCCTCAAACACAAAGTATTACATACTTTTTAAAACTCTCAGAACTATTGCTGTATGTTAATTTTATAACTGCCCTTTTCAAATAATAATTCCAGTTTTCCAGTTGATTTTCTCACATCTGGCAATTTTTAAGTTAACTATCAATGAAAAGAGAGTAAAAATTTATGAAAGAAAATATTTCATAAGTTGTTCAAACTAAGAAAGAAAATCGCAGCATAAAATAAGTTTGTTTACTTTTAGTTACAATAAAGAAGTATTCCTGCTACCATCATGGACTGTGTCTACTAATAAAGAATGAAAGGGTAGTTCCAATGCAAATGATAAGAAAATGTAAATGTACACTATAGTAAACAGAAGTACAGTGAGGAATTAGTTTATTCTGCTAAAAAATAACAGATGTACATGGATAGGAATCAAGAGCATTCATTCTATGCTTATCCTATTCCTAAAAATGTCTGTGACTGTGTACTTACAACAAAGGTCTGCGTTCTTGTCCAAATTCTGCTTCATAGTAGCCATCTCTGCAGTCTTTTCCTACTAAATCATGAGGATGAGGTTTATGTGGGTCATTCTTTGTTACTAATGTAATTCTCACTTTTCCTTTTCCATAGTAGTTCATAATCTGAAAAGGGGGGAAATTAAATATATGATCCATAAATACAGCTCATTAAGAACTGATCTACAAAATGAGAGTTCAATTTATATAATATAGTTAGCACTGGATAAATAAAGTCCAATTGACTGGCAACTGCAGTTTGGATGAAACTTTACAGAGAATACCAGTAGAGAAGAATTTTACCTCTCAGTTCCTTGGCATATTATTTTGTGCCCTAATTCAATTGGTCATATCATCTGATTTTTGCTTATTTTCCTTTGAAAACAAGTAAAATTACACCAAAATAGTATCACAGAGCATGAGGAAATTCTAAGATGTTGAGTCACTGAATGCCATGCTCTTATATTCATTGTCATACCATAAACATCCCTTCAAAGTATATATTTAGGGCTTCCCTGGTGGCACAGTGGCTAAGAATCCACCTGCCAATGCAGGGGACACGGGTTGGAGCCCTGGTCTGGGAAGATCCCACATGCCACGGAGCAACTAAGCCCGTGTGCCACAACTACTGAGCCTATGCTCTAGAGTCCGCAAGATACAACTACTGAGCCCGCGTGCTGCAACTACTGAAGCCAGTGTGCCTAGAGCCTGTGCTCCACAAGAGAAGCCACGGCAATAAGACGCCCACGCACCGCAACAAAGAGTAGCCCTCACTCGCCGCAACTAGAGAAAGCCCACACGCAGCAATGAAGACCCAACGCAGCCAAAAAACAAAAAAGTATATATTTAAGCCATAATGGAAATGATAGCACACAAATATGATCATTTTACTTAATACATTACATTTCATTTTACAAAAATATTTGTTAATCAGTAAGCATACTGCAAGTGTTCACTGTATAACAGGCAATAAATCAAGTTGAGTTTTGCAAAATTAAGTTTTCACACAGAACACTGAGAAAGAAGAGAAGAGTTAAACATGGGAGAAGGAAGCATGTGGGGATGAGCTAATGTTTAGGTTGGAAGCTAGCAAATTTGCAAGCACAAATGGCAAGGCAGTTAAGTAAGAATAGGTGGTTTCACAGGTAAAAGGGCATTAAAATCCATAATTTTGAATTTAAACTTAATTTGAACAGTAACCAGAAAGTATTTATTGCTTTTCTGAATAAAAGAGAAGGTAACAACTTAAAAGTGTAAGGTTGGGAATTCCCTGGCGGTCCAGTGGTTAGGATTCTGTGCTTCCGTTGCAGGGGCACAGGTTCGATCCCTGGTTGGGGAACTAAGATCCTGCAAGCCATGTGGTGCAGCCAAAAAAAAAAAAAAAAGAAAAAAGAAAAAAGCATAAGGTAGGCTAATGTAGAACTCAAGCTGCAAAGTTGTTTAGAACATACTGGAATGGTAAGGATACAGACCTTAGAAATATTAAAGAGAATGTATAGAATAAGCTGAATTATGGAGAAGAGCTAAAATTCGCTCTTAAAGGAATAGAAGATTACTGTTTTCTTATTTACCTTTTATTAGCACCTCTCCCATTTTAACATTATATAAAAAGAATTAGATCTAACTCAAATCCATATTGCTAACAAAAAAATGTGATAGAAGATTGGAATTTGTAATTCAATATGTAATTTTGCCATTGGCTTGTTATATAACTTAGCATTTCCTTTAAGTTCAATAGAGTAAACTCTGTAAATAATCTAGTTATAAAATAGTGAATTCAGATCTGCTGAGGAAACATTGAATAACACTTTTCAAAAATCCACTCTGCCATTAAGGTTTTAAATTGGCATTTAAAGAATAAAGAAAAAATCATTAAAAACTGAAGGAAATGTATATAAATATAAAATACAAATATAGTATAGTTTATAATTATAGTATATTACCAAAGTCAAACTGCTTTCAAAATTTATGCTAATATGAAAAAACTACATTTAAAAAGTGACAATATTTCAAATCAGTCAAGGCAACCCAGAGCATCAGGGATAGGCAATAAAGGTAAGGGGGAAAAAACCCAAAAAATGTTCTCTTTTTACATAGACCCTAGATTAACCAAGTGACTGCAGGAAGAATTCTAATTGAATTCCCAAATGCATGTTTTCAATCTACAGAACAATTCTGATCACCTCTGGAAGGAGAGAATGCTTTTTTCTCATTAGCTTTTTGTTCCATGAAAGGGATCATCATCCAAAAGCTGCCAATGTATACTAAGCACTGGGAATCACTCTACTTAGATTAACACACAATGTATAACTATCCACAGGCATGAAGAATCCATGCTGTACTTAAGAAATGTCCCTAGAATTCTATGCAGTATAGATCAATTAAAAAGAAAAAAAAGGAAGAAAAGCTGGTGGAGATCACTGTGAAGAAGCTGGGTCTTTAACATAGTTGCTGTAGCTAAAATATGAAGCAACTAAGAGACAGACACACACAGGAGAATGGTCTATTACCTGGATAGATGGGTATGTTCGGTTGTTGTCTGTGCTGTGCTCCCCTGGAATGCTGCCTGCTGATCGCCCTTCACATTTGTATCTAAAACGCATTCCCCTCTGCCTGGGTTGTTCAATTATCGCTATATATGGTTTATGACCACCTGAAAATTTTAAAAGCGGGGAGGGTGAGATTACAATAGAAATGATAATGGATTTTGACCATTTTGTTTTTTATAAAACAGTAGACTAAAAAATTTTCCCTCTCAATATTAAATAACAAGGTTGAAATGTAATTATCAAAGATTGGGTGGTAAAGACACTCTTCTCTCTCATTCAAATTGAGCTCCCATACAGTGTAAACACAAGTCATTCAAATCATATTTACCGGTTAGCACTTTATCATTTAATATCTATAACTAATGCCAGAGTGAAGTTCTGTGATAACTACTTCAGAGATACCCACTTACATGAGACCAAGCAGAAGGGTTTTCCCCCAAAATTCTCCCAAATGGGTCAAGAAGATAGTCTTCAGAAGTACAATATTATATTCCAAAAGTGACTTTGCTTGATTTTACATTAGACTTAACAGTGGACTAAAAGACTGTTCACTGAAAATGAAAATGTATTTAAATCCTTGCAGAAGGAAATGTTAAGTTTTTTATATCTCCATTGGAATCTTAAAGGACGTATACATAGTACAGCAAAACAAGTTCCAGAAGGGACTTTACGCTCAAAAGAGTTTTCAGTCAGTCCCACCTAAAGTATAAGACACAACAGAGGAAAAGAAAATAATTATTTACTTTCTATAACAAATGTAATTCAAAATATATACCTTTAGAATCAATACAGATACACAGAACAACATGGATGAATCTCAAAATAAATATGCTGAGTGAAAGAAGCCAGATCAAAAGTGCACATACGGGCTTCCCTGGTGGCGCAGTGGTTGAGAGTCCGCCTGCCAATGCAGGGGACACGGGTTCGTGCCCTGGTCCGGGAAGATCCCACATGCCCCGGAGCGGCTGGGCCCGTGAGCCATGGCCGCTGAGCCTGAGCGTCCGGAGCCTGTGCTCCGCAATGGGAGAGGCCACAACAGTGAGAGGCCCTCGTACCACCAAGAAAAAAAAAAAAACAAAAAACTGCACATACTGTTAGGATTCCATTTATATAAAACTCTAGAATATGTAAACTAATCTATAATGATAGAAAGCAGAACACTGGTTGCCTAAGCATAGGGGTGTGGAGTGGATGGGGAACTTTGGGGAATGACAGACATGTTAATTACCTGATTGTGGTGATGATCTCAAAATTGTATAAATATGTCAAAAGTTATAAAATTGCGTACTTTAAACATGTGCAATTTATTGTACATTAGTTATATGTCAATAAAGCTGTCTAAAACATATGTACTTTTGCCCCCTCTTATTATCCAAATCATGGAAATGATCCAAATCATGGAAATAACAGTTTAATAAAGACACTCAAGTGTGCTTACAAGTAGGGTACTTAGCAACGTATCTTTATTTCAGGGGTATAAAGATGTCTTCCACTAAAAAAAAAAAACCCAAATCAAAAACCAAAACCCCCCAAGAAACCCTCCCTCAATCAGTTTAGTGATTTCTAAATTCCCACAATTAAGATATCCATTTATTTGACTAAAGGCTTATCCTCTGTTATGATGCAAGCAAATCTTCAGAAAGGGTAACACAGTGGGTATTATCAGTGCAGTATGGGGAAGAGGCCTTTTGAGTACTACTCAGCCACATCTTAACATTGAAGACCCTGGAAATATCATATTTCTTAAGTTTCCTACTCTATAAAATGGAGATAATAACAATAGCACCTACCACATAGGGTTGTTGTGAGTATTAGAGATAACATGTGTTAGGTTCTTACCAAGTATCAGACATATAACAAATATTCAGTAAATGGTCTATTATTATTTTGAATGCTTTCTTGAAAACAATGATTTATAGTGATACCATGACAGTATATATACAACTGCTTCTTTCAAGGATATTACAGAATAGTGAGGCAAACAACACAAATTATTAGACTATAGAGGAAGGAACAAAATTTTGTTTATGCTAACAAAATTCTGCATAAAATTGTAATAAGAGCAAAAGAGTCAGGAAAGCCTAACTATGTCAAAGGAAAAAAAGAGGTACTGAAGCAAAAGGGTGGGGAGGGGGAAGGGAGAAACGCAGGCATTCTAGAGAAAGGGAAGAGTGTGTCCAAAGGTGGAGGCACAGAAAAAAAGAGCTAAAGAATCACAATACGGCCCCAATGGAAATCCACCCTTAGAAAGAGAACCAAAGCCAGAGTACATTTGGAGATTTGGATTTCATTCTATGAGTGACAGAGAATCAATGTAAGGTTTTATGCAGGGGAATCACATGATCTGACTGACATTTTAGAGTAAGAATTCTGGTGGCAGTGAACAGATTAAAAAGAAAAGAGAAAGCAAGGTGATCAGTTTAGAGGCTGTTACAGTAATGTGGGCAATGATGAGAGTATTTCTGAAATTTGGTAGTGATAATAGGAATGAAGGATTATTTAAAAGATAAAATTGACAGTACTTGGTGACTGAACGAACATTAGGGTTAAGAGAAAGTAAAGAATCATCATTGATGGCTCCATATTTGCTACTTTGTGTTACTAAGTAAAGTATTACTGGTATCTTTAATTTTATTCTGTTTGGTTTAGACTCCTTGTGCTTGAATTTACTACCTACTTGTTTATTCAAAAGGCAAAGAGCCAGGGAAAACTGACTTTAACCTAATCAAGTTAATAATACTTATTTCAATTTTACTGAAAAATGTAACGCATGCAGATGAGTATTCCAATTTTGCATCCTTGGGAAGGATAAACTGGGAGATTGGAATTGACATATACATACTACTATATAAGAACCTACAAATAAGAACCTACTCTATAGGACTTCCCTGGTGGTCCAGTGGTTAAGAATCCGCCTGCTAATGCAGGGGACACAGGCTCTATCCCTGGTCTGGGAAGATCCCACATCTTCCCAGTAGTTGCTGCGGGGCAACTACTGAGCCTGTGCTCTAGAGCCTGTGCGCCGCAACTACTGAGCCCACGCGCTACAACTACTGAAGCCCACGCCCTCTGGGGCCCATGTGTTGCAACTACTGAGCCCGTGTGCTGCAACTACTGAAGCCCTCACGCCTAGAGCCCATGCTCTGCAACAAGAGAAGCCACTGCAATGAGAAGCCCGTGCACTGCAAGAAGAGGAGCCCCCGCTCGCCGCAACTAGAGAAAGCCCGTGCGCAGCAACAAAGACCCAGCGCAGCCACAAAAAAAGAACCTACTGTATAGCACAGGGAACTCTACTCAATACTCTGTAATGACTTATATGAGAAAAGAATCTAAAAAAGAGTGGATATATATTTGTATATATGTGTGTATATATATATATATATATATGATTCACTTTGCTGTACAAGAGAAACTAACACAACATTGTAAGTGAACTATACTCTAATAAAAAAAGACAAAAAATTTCACAACCTTATATATCCTTGTAGGAGTATTTAAAAGAAAGTACATTTTCCTCTGAAAACGAAGTTCAAAATACTCAACAGTATTTTTTAAGTAATATCTTAAATCATCTTTGTGGTTGAACTAAAGGTCAAATAAATCCCTGCCCACTGCTTATTTAAAGGTGTCTTAGTGGGAAGTTGATATAGAATGACATCACTAATGGTAAGTGGCTAACTTTTGAGGGAGGAGTGTGAATAAAAGTGCTAGGCTTAAAGTGAGCACTCAAATATTTCATTGGTTATACAACACTTCCTTAAACTAGAAAGTGTGTTTAAGAAAAAAGTCTGTAGACAAGAGAACAGAAAAGCAGTTGTTGAAAGATTAAACAAAACATTTTTTAAAGATTTTTAAATTCTAAAAATGACAAATATTAGTTATCATATAACATCAAGTACTTAAAAAAACCCTTGAACTCTATTCTTTCTATTGTAGAAGCTCTTTATTGGTAAAAAGTCTAACAACCAGAGTTTACTGTAATATTCTCTATTCCCCCAGCTGGAAATAATCTTCCCCTCTTCTAAACTATCACAGCGTTTTGTTTATGGCAATTATTGCAAATAACTGTAAGTTAGGGAAGACTCACTGTTTTATTTCTTCTTGAAAAAAAGCTACTTGTTTTATTTCTTCAAACAACTTGTTTTATTTCTTCAAGCTACCTAAAGGCAGGAATTGTGTCCTACTCATCAGTGCCTTGCACAGATATTCAGTAAATATCTGTGGAATGAATGACTGAAAATCTAAAGATCTTTTTGTTTGTCTACATTACGCAAACATTGAAAGACTATATTAATAATTATTCAGATTTTCCTTATTAGGTTGTACTACTAAGGAAAAAAACAGTGCTTTGTAAGTACTAAAATCGCTACACCTTCATACTCCTCATACCTATTCATATTCTAATTTCTTTACCTCTATTTATAATTTTAAAAAACCTTCCCAGCTATAAATCATTTATAATATCATGCATCAGTACAGTGTATCAGTTACTTCCTTCCTCAGTACTCTGTTCTGAAGTGCCATCCTTCCTGAAGATAAAAAGTGGTGAAATGCAATCATCTATGGAGTGGAAGTTGGTAAAACATAAATCAGGGAACTGTAGAGAAAATGAGTACTCTTAACTAAGATTATCTCAAATCACTACAGTTTTGAAAATCATAGAAATGCCTTCAAAAGTTGGTTCTAAACAAGCTGATTACTGTACTTTTCTTTAACCAATATTATGCACAGCTGGGATTGACCCCTAAATTTTTAACAGTATTGTAAAATGCTATACAGACCAGAATAACATTTGAAATATAGCCAAAATGTTTGCAAGATATATTTACGTTTTTGTTTGCACTTAGGCAAGAAAGAGTGCTATTTGAGTTTTTAAGATTAAAAAAAGAAAGTACATTGGAAAAAAAGAAAAAAAAGAACGTACATTGAAATAAAAGATAAAAGTGGATGATCAACTGTCAGACAGCTAGCACTGGGAACCAGCATTAATTGCACAGTGAAAAAATGTTAATTATAGTAATTAAAACACTGTTTTAAGGCACTTTAATATACATTTCTCATTTGATCCTCTTAACTTTAGTCTCATAAAAACAGGACAGGAATT